ATGCAAGTGTGTGTGACTTATGTCCCGCTGCAAAGGAGAAGCCGAAGCATAGTGCTGTGCCGGTCCTGGGAATCGGAGCTTGTGAATTAACTTACTTATGGGAACGGTGTACCAGCCCCATATCACTGTATAGTGCGTAGAAGAAGCATATACAAGTTGCTCCCTCCCCCGAGGGCTAATAGTTTCCCACAGGTGATGTCAAGAGTACTTTTAAGTACTGTAGAGATTCGTTTGCTGACAAGGCATTTATATTATGTTTATTGAGGGTTATTTCTTTCTCATTTCTAAAAAACCTAACCCCTCCAAGGAGTCCAACATGGAAGAGTTTAAAGATGCAAGTCCACCTGAAGAATTACTTGATCACTTAAAGCTTTCTGATCAGAAGTCTTCAGAGACTGGCCCCAAAGATGCACAGAATCCCAAAAACATTGAAGGTGGATATACACCATCCTCAGCCAAAGATCCCACAACAGCAGATGAGTGTTTCCATGACTGTCACGACTCCTTTGAGGCAAAAGAACCTATGCTGGATGATGAAGGGAATTTACAGAATGATGAGAATAGCTCAAGGAAGCAGACAGAACTAGATGAAGAATACTTACTAGAACTAGAAAAAGATATGCCAGAAGAAGAAAAACAGGTAATCCAAAATACCAGTGTTGAATATAAAAAGACATATTTTCAGTGTCACGTTTCTGAACAGTCTGTGACCAGCATGAAAATGGACCTTTAAAACTCTCTTATGTGTCTAATTTTACTGTTCTCAATTTCTTCTTTTAGGTAACAAATATTTTTGTTAGCTTTCCTTGCTGTTCTTAATCATCACATTCCGTTCCAGATTTTTGTCTACTTTCACCACCATGTAAGGTTACTGTGACTCAGAGAGATTATAAGAAACAAAAATCTCCCTGTTTCATGTTATTTAGTTGTGTGCATTCATTGTTTTTGCCTGATTAGCTGCAAGGTGCTTTTCCAAAACTCAGAGCAGGTTTCAGGATAGTTTTCATATCTGAAAGGCTAGTTTAAGTAATACAACTAATTGGGATTAAATTTGAAAGTATCCCTATAGATTACTTAAGCTTTAAACAAACAAAACACATTAAATATGTGGTTTTGTTTACTTTCAGTGTGGTTACACTGGACAAAATGTTTGGGTAACAAACTGGATAATGTTGTGGGGAGTAATGAAATAGGTCTTGGGGAGAAGTCCAACAGCCTCTGTAATGGTGTTTACTCCCCTGTAAGTCTGTGTGAACCAGTTTTTTTGACCCTCAGTCAGTGGTGTCACTTGACGGCAGTTAGTTTTCAGGGTTCTAAGATATTATGGTCATCAAGTAGTTAGAAAAAAAAAACTTTTTTTTTCTAACTTTGAGAAAACTTGTTAAATGATATTCAAGGTTACACTCTGTTCACTTGAGTAATGCGGTGATTTCTGCTGGTAATTATGTTCTCATAGCAAATGGTAGAAGGCTTTCTACTGATTCATGGATTTTTTTTTTTCCCTAATTTTTTTCAACTTTAGTTTGCAAATGGTGGGGGAGTAAAGATTTTTAGTAAACTAAAATCTCTGTCCCAACATACAACTCCTGTAATGTTTTTTTTTAACACTATTTTTGACAAGTTTTATAGCTTGGCCTCTTGAACAGATCATGTTTCAAAGAACTGATCCTCTTAAAATCTGATTGAATTATCCAAACGAGCAGTTAGTTGTACTGAAAATTGAAATAGTGATGAAAAGTACTGCTATATTCTTTGGCAGTTGGGGAAAAGATGGAATTATGACATATTGTAACTTACGTGAAGGGAAGACTTCAGCAAACTTTATTTTATAGTCCTGTAGGCATGAATTAGATCTTATTTTAATAAAGGAAATAGAGTCCTAACTGAAAGGCTAGCTGCACAATTTGGATCACAATTTGGATCATAATCATTGAATAACTGATTATGAAGAGGGAAGGAGAGAGTGGAGTAAGGAGTGGCAGCTGACAGTATCTTAGGAAAGCATTACTTCATAGTGGAGGATAGTGTATTGTATAGCTGTATAGTTTATGTTCTGGAAACTCACAAATCACCAGGAGCAGTAGAAGAAATTGCTACTGCAATGGCCAAGTACTACTAAAATGAGACATTTGATGAAAAAGAAGAAATGAAGGGTCATACCAAATTAATTTTTTAAAAGTGCTTAAAATCTTATGAATGTGTCAGTGAATTTATAGGGGCTTATTACTCTTTTGTACAGGCAGGCTGATCTTTTCTAATTCAACTGACTTGGTAAAGCTGGACCATGCTTTCTTAACTGTTGGCTCGCCCTGTCTGTGTTGTATAAGTAAATAAATGCTGGCTGTACATTGCCCAAAAAAGTTGGAAAGAGGGAGAGGCTTGGCAGTAACTTGACTACACCATGGTCTTACTGCCAGCTACTGTAAATAGAGAATGAGGGGCAGAAATATGCAGAGCTAAGATGCTGGAGGCAACCAAACATCTAGATTGTTTGTTACAAACCAGTATAGAGAAATTTAATCAAGTTGTGGCTCAAGTAGTTCCCTTGCTGGTAGGGTGGGATTTCTGACCAAAATACATCAGTGAAGACAAAAAGGTAGTTTTTCATCTGTAGTACGCATTGTCATGTTACTGTAGAAGTTCCTTGAGGTGGAAAAGCAATATGGGACTAGTGGGGAGGTGGAACATGGAATATAATCTCCTTGAAGTAGGAATGAGACTAAATGTAATGCTTGTCTGCTGCTTCACCTTGTGGAAATCGCTTCATAGCTTGCTCTCTCTCTCTCTCAATTTTGACATCTGTAAAATGGGCATAATGATGCTTGCCAGTTGTAATACTTTGAGCTCTAATAAGGAATAATGGGGGTGGGGGGAAATCTCAAGAGGTTATCTGGTGCGTCCTTTGCCCCAAAAGGGCCTCTGGAGAGGTTCATCTAGTCCAACCCCCTGCTCAAAGTTAGATAAAATAGATCAGCCTGCCCAGAGACATGCAAACATCTCAGAGCCTGGAGATTACACAGCCTGTCTGGGCCCCTGTTCTAGTGGTTAAATACCCTCATGGTGTTTTTTCTTCGTATTTAATTAGAATCTCCTTTGTTGCAACTTGTGACCACTGGCCCTTCTTTTTCTGCATGCCTCCAGGAAGAGTCCATCTCCATTTTCTCTGGTGATGAGGCCTCCCCTGAGCCGCCTTTTCCTAAGGCTGAACAAACTCAGTTCTTCTAGGCTGTCTGCTTAGGTCATGGTCTCCAGTGTCCTGACCATCTTGGGGGCCCTCTGCTGAACTACCTCTGGGAAGTTGATGTCTGTTTTGCTTTTTTTTGTATGGAGGGGACACCAAAACTAGGCACTCTCCAAATGCATTCTCTCAGGTGTTGAACAGAGGGAAATCAATCACTTTCCTTGACCTGCTCACTACACAGAAAAACCATTATCACATTGCCCTTGCGTCTTTTCCAGTTTAGACTAAACAGTCCCTTTTTTCTACTTGTATTTATTGCTTGTACGACAAAGAACGTTGTCACAATGAGGCTTCTGCAGCAGCCTATAACTTGAAGGCAGCTTGAGAGTTTCATAGACAAAATGCTAAAAGCTGGGGGAAATTATGTCGTAGAATTAAACTCTAGAAAGAGCAGCAGGCCTGGAAATTGGGTGTCTTAGTTTTCGTGCTGCTCTTGTTTCTGTTTTATTGTTAGGTAATCTTTTAATTTTGCACATCAATTTTTACCTTCTGTAAAGTGAGCAAAAGAATTGTGAATGTTGAATACTTGCATTCAGCTTTGTGGAACTCCATTGAAAGGTGCTATGGGAATACAAAATAATAACTGTTTAAAGCTGGAAAGATTTCCTTAGAGAAAGTATGGAGACAGCTGTACTTCTCATCTTTTTGTAGGTTTATTTCCGGTGGTATTGAGTAATTGTGCCTTTCAGCTTAGTTTATGATTATACCTAATGAAATGGAGGGATTGCATCTCTGGGTATCACCACAACTGTTAGATTGGCAATGCTTACATTGTGAACTTTGTTTATGTTCCATAGAGAGCTTTCTGAGTGGATTATATAAGCAGTCTTTAAAATATAGTTATTTTTTTTTCTGTAACAAAATATTGTTGGTATCTCTTATAAGCAGAGCTTGAGAAATCCAGAAACTAGAGATGAATTAGAAGGTTACAGCAGTTGTTGCAACTCTTGAAGTAGCCCATTTGCATGATCTTACCCTGCATCACCTTACATTCTCTGTGTAGTAAAACCATGGGGATGGGTCGTTCCTGAATTGCCACTGCAACTTTCCTTATAGTATTGGGAATTGATGGCTACAAATTTTATTTTATTTTTATAGAGAACATTTCACTTTTGAAAATATTTTTATTATGAAAAGAATCTGTTAAATGATGCAGCTTTTAAGAAAAAAATACTGCAGTTACCACCTGAAAACAGCTGCTGTACATACATTTATTCAGAGTTTTTAAAACATTTTAAACTTCCTTCCAATTACTCAAAAGGTCGTTTTGAGAAGAAGGGCAGCATGATTTTTTTTGCAGCTGGAGAAAATGAGGCAGAAATATTCAGAACTTGTTTATTTGACTGTTGTGACCAGACACCCAGCAGCAGTGCTGTGTTTGCTACTTAGGCAGTCCTTGATCAGTCATTCTCAGCCCCCTGCTGCCTTCTTCATTGTGCTAGCACACCTCTCTGTGTGAATGTGCAGTGAACCAGTTATGGGGAATGATTCAGATGAAAAATAATGCTGTATTTTTAGATCAAGGGCAGTGCTGGTAAAAGTAGACATCAAAAGGCAGCCTCATGATGGCATACAGGGGTAGATGGATTTTCTTTGATTAGACTACTTGCCTAAATAAGAAAAACTTCCTATGAACTGTGGTTTCAGCACCAAGCATAAACTATGTACTCAAGTCATAAGGACAGCTGGATGTTAGCCCTGCTCAAATCACATTTATGGAGCTAATAGCTAGTTTTGGTTGGTTGGTTTGTTTGTTTTTTTGAACTAAGCCCACTGTTATGTTTTAGCAGCTTTAACAAATCGGTTCTTTTGAGTGATGTTCTCCAATAACTAGGCTGCAGAAAAGAAAGTCTCTAATATATTCTGGAGATGCAAAGACAGATTCTAGTCCTTGCTCTGCATATTTACGCGTATCCTATGTGCAAGCTTTCATGGTGGCAGGTCTGAGCAGAAATTCTAACCCATGCAGAAGCTGCTGCAGAGATCAAAGTGAAGGAGCAAGCGGTCGTGTATTTTCTCTCAATTATATTTCGAGAGCCCCATACAGTGAGATTTTTAATTTTAAGCAACAGGACTTACTTCCAGTACTGATACCATAAGAAGTCTTCTCTGCACAATGAAGCAAAATAAGAACTTGAAGGGGTATTAAGACACAAACCTGCAAGAAGTATTCTTGAAAACAGATGTAGCATAGAGCCTGGTTACTTGCCTGGACTTGCAACTCTGAGCGTTTTAAGAATTAAGCAGCCTGAAACAAAATTCACTTTTATAAGATTTTTGTTGTTGTTACAAAAGCATGCTGATTGCTGCCTCAGCAGAGGCACTGAGCAGTAAATTGCTTTTGATGCATTACAAACAGATTTTTCTGGTTAGTTGTCATTGACAGTGATGGCTTTGAC